TTGTGATGATTAGTGGATTCTTGGGAGCGAGTAGTGCAGAAGGGAGTGTATCGCAGTGTTTCAAGGTTCTTCGATTTAGGTGAGTTTTGCCTCATTGTACCCGTGGTTCAAAGGCACCAAGGCCGGCCCACTAGTTTTGGTTATCATCTAGTGGAGTGCCCTAGGGGTTCTATGTAGTCATGTAGGATAGACTGAGGATTCTTGATCTAGGCTTTCTTGCTAAATGTATGGGTATCTATCTCACCTTTGAGTATATACGGTTATGCATTCCTTGAATTGTTGGTATTTAGTATGTTACTGTGTTGTAGTGATTTGGTAGATCTGTATCCTGGTATATAGGATGTTGCTATACTATAGTGATCTGTTACATCTATATCCTAATATATAGGATGTTGTTGTACTATAGTGATCTGCTAGATCTATGTATATATCCTTATAGTATAGGATGTTGTAATAGTGGTACATTGATTATCATCTAGTGGAGTGCCCCAGGGTTGTATGTAGTCATGTAGGATAGCCTGAGAAATCTTGATCTAGGTTGTCTTGCATGTTCCTTGTTTGGTTGTGGCTCTAGAATAGGCTCATCTGTTCGAGTGGCTATCTCACCTCTGGTTACTTATGGTTACAAATTTCATAGAGGTTAGATGGTAGCGGGACAATGTGTTATGAGAGGACTAGTAGGCGGTAGGGAGTTGTATGATTGATGTTTGCATATATTATGAGCCTACTTGATCCTTGATTGTTTATATGTTGACATATGGTGGTAGTGGGTTGAGACAATCGTGCTTTATGCTGTACGCCAAGATATTCAGTGTGGGCCAGCTGTAATCCGTAGGCATGGAGGCTCGGGAAGAGCGGTTGGGTTGAAGCGGTAGGCCAACAACCCTAGGTATGCCAGCTCGATGGCTTATTGGCATTCCAATTTGTGGACTGATTGGGCCTGGGGATTCCAATATGATGACCGTGGGCCATTATGTATGCTTATATGTTTATCGTATGGGGTATTTTGGGGGAAACTCACTAAGCTTTGTGCTTACCTAGTTGTTTATTGTTTCATGTATCATCAGTTATCGTGGGAAGGCGAAGGCATGATTGTACACATTCATCAACAACAATGAAGATTTCACGCTTTAATATTACTCTGATTATCAATAAATGTATGTTGGAATAAACGGTTTTCTTAATAATGGATTGATAATTGGGAAGTTTTACTCTAATAAAAAAATGCAAAATTTTTTGTTGTGAAAATTGGATGTTAGAAGTTGGTATCAGAGCCCCAAATTAAGCGATTTGGAGGAACACTTGTGTGAATCCAGACTCAAACTAGGATCCGAGAGTTTTCATAAAACGTTTTTGAAATAGAATTTATAATAAAAGGGTTGTGTTAGGGACATAGGCTTGGTATCTTGTCATGTTCTTGTTTGATTGTTGTCTTGGGATCAGGAACATGGACCTTAACTTGACTTTGGTTTTATAGGAAGATACGATGTGTACAGTCAGCCACATCCCGAACGGGAGAGTGGTTCCCAAAATACCCATACTTGTTATATGCGCTGAGTTTTTGATTTTGTTGATATGTGAACAGTTAGAAAGCATGCTAGTGGATAATGTAGGGTTCTTATAGGGACCGTTGGATAGAAGTGCCTAATTTTGGTGATGCCTTATGATATAGAGAATTGTTTGCTATATGTTACTTGATTGTGTGATTTCTACGTGTATATTGATTAGTTGTATATGGTCGGGAATAGCCTCAGAATGATCAAATTAGCTTGACTTCATGTTCCTTGTTTGGTTTTGGATGTAGGGCAGAGTCGATAATTCGACAGTTTATCTGACCCTGTATTGTGTACAACAAGCATGCACATAAGTAACTAGATGCGTAAGAGAGATGATAATCCTAAAAAGAGTGCCTAGGAAGTTAGTTGTATCTTGTAGGAGAAGTAGGTGTTAGCGCGCGTAAGAGTGGTCTAGTTTAGTGACTTAGGACCTTGGAATGAATTTTGAATCGACTACGGATAGGTGTGAAAGGTAGTATGGGCCCGCACTACTAAAAGCACATGATCTGTATGAGATTCAAGAGGAACCTCGAGGCTACTAAGGAACTAATAGGAGTGTAGTCTGGTGTGTTGAGCATTGTGTTTTGATGTCGAATATTTCCTTGGTATATTTTCAATATGGAGGCTTTTTAAGGTTTAGGATCAGGAGCTGATGACACTAGGAGAGCAGGTCTGAGTGAGGAGGAGATCTGCAGGATCATTGCTGCCGGAGCGGTTGAGGCGATTAGGGAGGCGACTTCGGAGTTGTTTGGGTTAGTTAAGAGAGCTTTGATCGAGGAGTTTGACCGTCGGTATGTCGTCGTCACACAAGTACTTGCTGCCGCAGCCACAACAGCCGTCGCCATTGCAGAATATCATGGAGGCGGGGCGATACAATACCAAGAGTTGAGTTATACGAAGCCTCCAGAGTTTCAAGGCAACAGGAACCCGATCATCGCTTCGAGATGGATTTCTGACATGGAGGTATGTTTCTACACATGTTCATGCCCCGAGGGCCAGAAGGTGAAACTTGTGTTGAATCTTCTTCACTGGGGTGCGAAGGATTGGTGGGAGTTTGTGACCTAGGGATTTTCGCATGCAAAGCGAACAATAATGACTTGGGAACAGTTTCTGGATATGTTCGGAGCGGAGTATGTCCCTATTATGGAGCGGAAACAACTGGCACAGGAATACCTGTCGCTCAAGCAGACGACTGAGTCGGTGACGGAGATCACTAAGATGTTCATGGAGATGGCTCTTTTCTGCTCTGAGAATGCTGGTTCAGAGCAAGCACAGATCTTGCGATACTAGAGTATGCTCAAGACCGATATCCGAGAGTTTGTATCTACACAACAGTAGCATACCTTGACCGAGATGCAATCAAGTGTTAGGAGGGGGATATTGAGTTGGAGATTCAGCAAAAGGAGGAGGGAACAACTTCAGGACAATATCAGCTGGCAGGCAAGTAGGTTAAGTCCACTGACCCGAGTTCAGGATCAGTGGAGGGGAGGAGTTCTAGGTGTGGAAAGTGCGGGAAGTTTCATGATGGAAGTTGTTGATCATCTGTATGTTGCATGTGTGGCAATGAGGTTCATTTTGGTAGGGATTGGAGGCGGAGTTCACGGGAATGTTTCCATTGTGGCCAGGAGGGCCACATCAGATCTAATTGTCCCTTTGTTGTTTTTGGTAAAGTGCCAGACCCTACACCCCTAGCTTGGCAGTTACCCGACGTTCATCGTGAGGCGTCCGGAGTCCCAGGGACCGAGGTTTGAGTTATCAGTTCCTCTATTTGGTTGATTGTTGCAGTGTTGGTATTCATATGTATTTTGTGTTTATGTTCGAAGTTCAGTTATATTCATGGATGATTAGTTGAATGAAATTATCTTATTTATATAGCTCCATTAAATTTGATTTATTGTTATTAATGCATTATTTATCTTTGTCCTCGGTTGTATTTGTATTGGAATTTGTGAATGTTGTGTTGGTTCAAATTTCCGGTGTATCTGGATATTAGTGGTTGGGATCAAGTGGTAGAGTTCAAGTTAGTCTGGGTATCTAAGGATTGTGAAGTTGCTAGATTCTAGCATATTACAAGCGGGGGAGAGTGGAACCTTGCAACAGGAAGACCTTGTGTCAAGGTTCGGTTCTCCGTCAGATTTCTCCAAGTCCAAGACTTC